ACGTATGGAACTTCCCACATTTACCCGTATTTTTCGCTCTATAAGACACACCAGACCACAAGACGCACCTTGCTTTTGGATGAGGAAAAGAAGAAAAAAAATATTCTGAATCTCAGAAGCCAGAACAGCATGAGGGATCGCTGCGCAGTGAAAGCAGCAATCCCTCTTGCTGTTCTGGATTCTGGGATAGCTGTGCAGCCTGCATTCACTCCATAAGACGCACACACATTTCCCCTTACTTTTTAGGAAAGAAAAAGTGAGTCTTATAGAGCAAAAAATACGGTATTCCCAGGCAATTTCAAAGCTGTCTTCAAAGCATCTGAGGCAGCTCACAGGTGATATGAAAAACCTCTCTCTGCCTGAGAGTCTGGAGAGGTGCTAGCAGTCAAAATAGACAATACTGAGCTTGATGGACAGATCAAAACAGGCACTCTCAAATATTGTGGATCTCTAAAGATCAGTCTGATTGGCATGCCTTTTGCTGGCTGTGAAGATCAGTTCTGTTGCCTGTGGGAAATGAGCGGGATTGTGATTCTGTGGGAGTGTGGGAAAACTACAGAATGTGGTAATTAGTACAGAATTCAGTTTCCGGGGTATTTCTGGCTTTTAAAAAGCTTGAAGAGGTTCTGGCTTCCATTACAAAGAGACGTTTTCTAAACAACGTGCCTGAAATGGTATGAAATGGAAGTGGCCGCAAATTACTACACAGTGCCCCAACACTGTACGCATTTATTTAGTTTCTGGAAATTTGTTCTCACTTCGTCACCAAATAACTCAAGCTGGCTAATAACGATATAAATAAGGCAAAATTAGAAGGATTAATCCCCAGTTTAAACAAAGGCATTGGCAACACATTGTTAATCCAGGAAGGCAGCAAATAATGCAATATACAGACTTTGGTGGGTTGCAGGAGTCATCAAGAATGAGGGATGCAAATAAGTCAAAATCAATTACACATTTGTAATTGTAAACAATTACACATAGGCTAACTTGAGTCTTTTTTAAAATTTCCAAGTATTATTAGTACAAATTTAGATAGCGTTTCTGACCATTAGGAGTAAAAAGCACATCACTGAGTCACAAATGGTGGGCTGTGGCCAGCTAAATTCTACTCAGAGTAGATTCATTGAAATGAATGGACCTAAGTTAGTCATCTCCATTAATTTCAACGGGTTTACCCTGAGTATGACTCACATCAGATGCATCCTGTTATCTCCTTTCTATATGTGAAAACTTCAATGTGGTGAAATTATAGAATGATTTCATTCGATTGTGCAACCTCTTCAGCATACTGAAACCAGCATGATTCTGTTTATCTGGGGAGACCAGTCCTAAACAAAATTGTATATATATATATAAAATAAAGCGTTAGAATAAAAGTGTAAATCTTCGTTCCTTTGCAATCAATTTTAGCACAAAGATTTTTTTAAAATCAAAACCTAACATTCAAAAGGTAACACTAATGCATGTCCCTAATCTGAGGTCATGTGCTCACATTTTCTAAGCCCAGCAGAGATATTAAAAGATAACACAAGCCCTGCTTCCAAGCTCACAATCTTATAGACGCAATACAAACAGAAACGGATAGGGGAAAGCAAACACTGGAGCCCTGGGTCCTTCACATATTAATTTACTTCAACACTTTGAATTTATGTAGATTCATTATAGTATATTATTATAACATTCTATATATAGAGAGAGAGAGAGAGAATGTATTATAATGATATATTAGCATATATCTTCCTATACACATAAAAATGTAAGGCTGTCGTCACTCTGCAGTTGGTGCGGCCGCCAATAGGCAACCCCACCAGCTGCAGTGTGGCATATAGCAGGCCTTTGGAACAACGCAGCGGCAGGTGAACTGTTTAACAAAGTGGGAAGCACTGTAGTGAGGTCTAACGGAGACGGGAAGGTACTTCATACAGTGGTTCAGTAAGCCTCCACACTCTGTTAAACACACTTGCAGTGAGGGTTAACAGAGCGGGAGAGGGGGTTCATACAGCAGCTTAGCAGGACACTCTGTGAATCGCCTTCTGCCTCCTTTGAAAAGTGAGTCGAGCAAGCAGGGTTTTTTGCAGTTCCTAGTAGCTCATATAACTGCAAGAGATGCCTTATACGATATAGATGCCTTGTTAGGCTTGTATCGGTTGTAGCAATTGGTTTTAGCATTTATACTATTTTTGTAAGTTGCTTTGGGTCAATTTTATGAGAAAAGCAACTAATAAATGTAACAATAAATTATCATTATTATTAAGGTATATGTTTTAATTATACACACACACACACACACACACACACACAAACAAACAGACACAAACACATACTGTACATGAATACAGTGGTACCTTGGGTTACATACGCTTCAGGTTACATACGCTTCAGGTTACAGATTCCGCTAACCCAGAAATATTACCTCAGGTTAAGAACTTTGCTTCAGGATGAGAACAGAAATCGTGCTCTGGCGGTGCAGCGGCAGCAGGAGGCCCCATTAGCTAAAGTGGTGCGTCAAGTTAAGAACAGTTTCAGGTTAAGAATGGACCTCCAGAAGAAATTAAGTACTTAACCCGAGGTACCACTGTACATTAACAAATTACGTGTGCACACACCCTCAGAAGCATTGAAGATTTTTTTTAAAAATCTTGTGTTGAGTAATTTACCTGTAACCATAGATCATGTTTAGTACCTTTCCTCTCTGGCAGTACCACTTGCAGGTTCTGAGAGGCCCTTGCAGGTGTGCGGAACTGTTTTGGCCCAGTGGGCCAGATCCTTATCTGACTACGTCTCTACCTGCCCACAAATGGCATTAGGTGTGTGGGGCAGGTGGGTGCGGATTTTGAAAAATGGCTCCATGTGCCAAATGAGGACACCAGGTGGGCCAAATTGGGCCCATGGGCTGGAAGTTCCCCACCATGGCCCCTGGGGAGAAAATGCTCATCTCCTCCTCACCTGCGCATTCACTTACCTTTGGCCCCACACGGCGCAATGTCCCAGAGAGACAGGGAGGCACACCGGCAAGGAGGAGCAACAAAGCTGGCTATGGCCACCCTTCCAGAACATGCTTCGGGAAAGCCCACCGGAAGGACATGTGTGCAGCGGCCTTGCTCTGTCAATGGCAGCCTCAGCCAATTGCTGGTGCTGCAACGGCACTGAATTTGGGGGGGATTGGCCTCAAAACGGGTGATGAGAGGACAACAGGAAAAACAGTGGAACCAGCAGCACAGTGATGACGTTGGTTGGATTTCTCTGGAACATTTGGGCGAGCGGTTGACGTCAATTCTGAAGAAAATGGCATGTGTTTTTGGCGCACCCATGCATACATATGGGAAGCAGTTCAGTGCTCATTCTTATCCATGTGAATTCTCCAGAACTAGGAGCTCTCGTGGTCTGTTCCAGGAGTCCTACAGGAGACCTTTCCCTGCAGTGGTGCTGTTAGGTAATTGTAGGCACTGAATTTAATGGTCTTGTTCTCCTCCCTGCCAAACAGCCCATTGTATGTTCATGTGCCTTATTTTGAAATGTGCTAAACCATCCCTGCTCCGCTTGGGAGAACTTTGGCACATTTGGCTGAGTCAGATCCTGGACTTCTGCCCCCCCCCCCAGCCCTTCCTTGAAGGCATCACTGATTCTTTCCTGTGTTGCCTCCCCACCAAAAAATTAGATTCTAAACTTGGCAGGGCAGGGATCTGCTTTTTGTTTTACTTTCTGCATCCATGTAACTTCTAGGCTGCCTTACACCCAAAGTTCTCTGGGTAGTTTACAAGGATGAAAACCAACTAAATTGCCATCAGATCAACAACTTGCAACCAGTGCACCAATATTAAATCAGAAATCACCCAGAAACAGAGAAAAGTGAAAAATGCACTTCCTCTCTGAGATTCAAATAAAAAAACCAAAGGCAAATGTTGCCCATTTCTACTATTCAACACATCGTCTTCATAATTTATGATACAGTGGAAATGCAGGATTAAAATGTTATACGTATGTATTGTATCATAATTCATTGCTATGCTTATTGCAACATTATTTATGGCTAATTTATCCTCAGGAGACTCTACTTAGTTATCATTCCTAGTGATTTTTTGGCATCAGTAGAGATTTCTTACACTCCTCTCTTATCTTAATGTTAACTTCCTGATAAAAAGACTTCTGTACTCTTGTAGGATATGAAAAAGCTACTTTTGGCAGGAGGCACAAGCAGACTTTAGGAATTGGTACTTGGAATTGCTTGCCTCTGCTGGGGGGGGGGGTGGTGTCCCTCCCTGCAACCCCCCTTCCTTTTTCTAGTTTTATTCTGATTGCATTTCCTTTCACTGCATGATACTGCGCCGCAAATCTCTACGAACCATTGCTGACCCTTCTCTTTCGTTTTATTGTTTTTATTCCTTCTTTGCGCTGTTCAGCAAAAACCAAAACCAAAAATAAAATCGGCTGGCGCGAAGGTAAGAAAAACCGTTAATTCTAACCCTCGGGCAGCCCGATCTTTTGCACGTTCGTGTGGAGGGGTTTACAACCTGTCTTTTGCTTTCTCAAACGGCAGGGCTTCAGAAACATTTTTGGGGTATATTATTCCCACTTTGGGTCGGCCCGCGTTAAGAGCGGCAGCGGAGGTTTCTCATCCGAGTGACGCTCTTGTGGACGGAATGAATCTGCAGGGACAGGGACGGTGGCGCTTTTGCGCGCTTGCTTTTATGAGCAAAAAGCTCGGCATGGCTCCTCTCGTGTCCCGAAGAAGCCTTCCCGGAACTCTTAAAACCAGGCGCAATGACTCTCTTGCAGGGTCGAGGAGCCGCAGATCTGGCGCGCCCTCTCCAGTTCATCGCGCGCGCCTGCCCGACTCTTGCAAAAGCGCACGAGACGCCATCCCCACCCACGCGCCCTGATTGGCCACCCTTGGCACCCTGCGGCAGGATGAGGTGCTGGACCAAGAATCGGGGCGGGGACCAAGGTATGAGGCATGGCAGGGGCGTGTCCTGCCGGCTTCCACATGTTTTCTCCATAAATAGAAGGCGCCCCAAGATGCTCCTCCAACAGAACTTCGCCACCCGCAACCAACTCTCTAAGTATTTCGGCTTTGGAGAGCAAAGATGCCTCAGACGCTCAAGCTGGCCGGCAGGGCATCCTTGCTGGCGAGGTGCTTCCCTGAGATTTGGGCTGATCCTGTCCTCAAAGCTCCGGTCAGGGTGATCAAAAGCCACAAGACCCTGGACGAGATGCCAGGACCCAGCGCTCTGAGCTTCTTCAGCGACCTCTTCTGCAAAAAGGGGCTGTCACGGCTGCACGAACTCCAGGTAAGCTTTTACCAACGTGAAAGTAAAGGGTGTTGAATATCCTCTCCCCCAGTTTTTCGTTCTTTTTTTTACCATTGATTTATCTAGGGTCGTATGTTTATGGCAGGAAAGGCACATTAAAACGGTCGCTAAGTTCTTCCTCTTAGTGCCTTGAGGCTTGAAAACTTTTCTAGTCACATCTGCATAAATTTAGTAGTGGACTGGTTTGGTTTCAAAGGGTAGGAGGAGATGCAAAGTAGGGTTTTTCTTTTTCTTTAGTGCGAAGTGTCTCTTGAATCAGATGGTGGGGCTGTAGAATTCTGCAAGCTTTTGAGTTTCACAGAAATCTTCCTCTGTGGAATGTAATAACATTACTGTATGTGCAAACTTCGATTCATTAAAACACACACATACTGCATGTTGGAAGTGTAGATTTTGGCGAATGTCCTTAAAAATAGTTCAAAAACTGGTGGTACCCCAGTTTTTCTTTCTCTGTTACCTTGGCTCCATCAAAAAATTTGTAAGCTTGAATGTGGTGAGGTAACCAGATATTTTTCATCCTGGAGACTAAGGAGAAAGTGAGCCTCAAAGTTAAGGTCAATTCCTTTAAAAATTCCAGGAGATTCTGATAAAGAACGCTCCAACACATCTGTTGAAAATCCTGACTGTATCTATATATCTGTATCTACATCTATAACTATATCTTCGATGAGCACTGGAAATTTCGTTCCAAAAGTGACAAGAACAAGGCATTGCAAACATTAAAAAGTTTCCCAGGGATGTCAGGGATGGGAAACCTGCAGCCCTCCAGATGTTTCTGGATTCTAACTCTCACCAACATCAGCCAGCATAGTCTGTGGCTAGGGATGATGGGAGTTGTAGTCCGATAGCATATGGAGAGCCCTCAATTTCCCATCCCTGCTGAATGGGAGCATATTTTGTTTTACTTTGTTTATGCAATTTAAACACATGCCCTGCAAGGAGAATAAAACGAGGTACAAGGATCTTCCCTCAGGTGTACTTAACATTTCCGATGAACACCACTCGTCTCCATCCAGGCTTGTAAAAAGCTATTTAAATAAGGTAGACTAAGCTTTCCATTCCTTGGCTTGCTTGTCAACACAGCCCTGTGAAAGTTTGGCAGTAAGCCAAGTTGACACAACTCTAGGTGTTTCATTCTTTTTTTGCTTTGCAGTGTAAACCATTGGTGTCCTATAATACCATCTCTGTGTGTTTAAAGCCCACACTTCTGCCGCGATGTGTATAAATGGAGGCAGTTTAACCCATAATGCTTGCTTTGACTGCATGTGTGGAATGAACATGACAAATGTTGTATGATTTAGTCATCTTGACAAGAATGTTAAAACCTTTTCTTTTAAAAAAAACTAAAAATGATCATTATATTAGCCTTTCCTTGCTCACACACGTTCTGAAAGTGTGAGAATTGCTTGAAGCGGAGGACGAATCTTAATTGGCCAGTTCACTAATCTGGTGACAATTTCCGTGCCTTGTACTCCCAAAACTTACTTGCCTTCCAACTTTGTTGATAGCTTTATACTGTACATTCAACATGAACAGGAATGTATAGTTCAACAGACCTTTGTGGGAATTTAGGCATAGAGAAAGTAACTTGGGCGGCAATCCGAGGCAGGTATGTTTACTCAGAAGTTAGTCCCACTGAGTTATTGGGACTTACTCCAATGTAGTCTTTCCCCTTCTTTTACCTTCTAATAAACATAGTTTTATAGATTCCCAATATATAACAACAATTACAAAAAAGGAAAATAAATACAAAATCCCAACTTATTCCCTTCCCTGCTCCAAGGTGGAGCAGTCTAATTTAAGTTTGCCAAAGTCTAATCTGCGTCCCAATGTAGTCTTATGCACACAAAATCCCATTGAAAGGGAGAGTAAGGCAGGTGTTTAAGACTGCAGTTACATAGGTAAAGGTAAAGGGACCGCTGACCATTAGGTCCAGTCGTGGCCGACTCTGGGGTTGCGGCGCTCATCTCACTATATTGGCCGAGGGAGCCGGCGTACAGCTTCCGGGTCAAGTGGCCAGCATGACTAAGCCGTTTCTGGCGAACCAGAGCAGCGCACGAAAACGCCATTTACCTTCCCGCTGGAGCGGTACCTATTTATCTACTTGCACTTTGACGTGCTTTCGAACTGCTAGGTTGGCAGGAGCAGGGACCGAGCAATGGGAGCTCACCCCATCACGGGGATTCGAACCACCGACCTTCCGATCGGCAAGCCCTAGGCTCTGTGGTTTAACCCACAGTGCCACCCGCGTCCCGCAGTTACATAATAAGGGGCTAATCCTTGCTTCTTCTTGTCCTGCTGCTTGCTGCTTTCTTTAGCGCTCAAAGTAAGCCCCATGAACTCAGTTTCAGAATAGGCATGTATAGGGTTGTTCAGTAATTTCCTTCCATATCAGTGGCACTTGAAATGTGTTGAACCTTTCCCTGGATAGTGTTCTGTTGTGAGGATGAGCATGATACAGCTTGTAAAGCACAATTTGCATGTGAAAGTACTATGTAAATGAAAGGTTGCTTTTATTTTTGTTTTTTGCTGAAACGTAACTCAGCAATGAATAACTTCCCCTTTGGGCTGTATCAGGTGTGATGGTTGGAACCGTGAGTGAGACTGAAAGCTTCTGTTTGAAACAGGCCCCTCCCAAACCTAATTAAGGCAATGAATCATTCATTTAGCTTACTGTATCTGGCTTCAGCACCGGAATAACGCATGCTGCGTCTTTATACAATTTACTTGGGCTCCTGATGCCCCAGAGCTATGCCAGGATGTCAGAGTGAGATTTCTTGTGGCAGTTTCTATGATGTGGGGTTCTTGCAACAGAGCTTCCTGTCCCACCCACACCTCCAGAAAAGGCACCCACTTCTCAGTGATGGAATCACAGAAACGCAATCCCGTTTGTAGGTCAGCTGATCACCACGACTGCTCTATAGGGCCATAAACAGCAAACCGTTTTTGCCAGAGAGCCAGTGCACTGTGCAAGGGCTGAATGAGATCTCTTAACTCTCACCATGCAAAGAAGTCTATCTCAATTAATTAATTAATTCCACTTCTGTACCACCCTTCACCTGAAGATCTCAGGACAGTTCACAAGATAAAAATACAGGATACAAGCTCAAATCAATAGTTAGAACAAAAACAAAACAATACCCCTCCACCCGCCAATACTGCTTCTCTGCCCTGGTATGAGGGGACTGAAATTCAGTGCTCAAAGCCTTCCTAGTATGGGAACATGGTATTGTGCAAAGCTTCACCTGTTGAATATGTGCCTTTCATGCAGCTGTTTTAAAAGACTGGTGCAGTTCAGAACAAGAACCATGCTGGTGGTAACATCACCTGCAATCTTCTTTCTATATACGATTGGAAGCAATCCAGCAAGTGAGATTAAAAACGTGTGTGCGTGGACCATAGTAAGCAGGGAGGGAACTAGACTTCTCTTCTTGGTGTGGAACCCTCCTAGAGCGTTCTGTGTTATCTAATAAGTTTTCCTCCTGCTTCTGTCCTAGATCGAAGGCAAAACCAAGTATGGCCCAATGTGGAAGGCCAGCTTTGGACCCATCCTGACGGTCCACGTTGCGGATCCCAGCCTGATTGAGCAGGTGTTACGGCAAGAGGGTAAACACCCCATTCGCTCCGCCATCTCCTCCTGGAAGGATTATCGGGAGTGTCGAGGCCATGCGTATGGGCTCCTTACTGCGTAAGTGTTAATTATTCTTCTTCTCTCTCTCTCCACGTGGGGCTGAGGGGGACAGATGTTGCAGGAGAGAGATTTCATTGTCTAGTCAAAAGAGAATCCTTTTTATCCTCTTTATTTATACCATGACAATTTGGAATTTGCACGCTGGTGTGGGGCTTGTGAAGCCCATTCAGCAGCTCTCTCTAGTCTTGTCTGGAAGACTTTCAAGATGATCTTCGTTACATGGAGCCATGTGATGTGGAGGCCATTTTGGGAGCGATCCTGAGACCCTACCGTTTCCCATGGGCTGCTGGATAGAATTGAGAGCCTGGGAAACGGTGTGGGATTGGACATGGTTTTCAGTTCCTGTGCCATGAAAATTTATGAAAGTCCCCATAGTAGGCAGTTACATAATCTACCACCTACACGCGGTGTGTAAGCAGCTGGCTTTAAAGGAGTTGCACATAACGTCCATTTCCTGCTCTCCCTGTCCTATACGGTATTTGGCACTCTTCCCTGATGAATGAAGTAGCAACCACTTGACTCTTACACAACAGGGGAGGGGAAACCTGTGAAAATACAGCTCTGATCTCCCCCAGCCAACGTAGTCAGGCGTGATGCGAGATCTGGTCTAGTAACATCTAGAGAGCCACAGCTTTTACAGGGCGGACAACCTACAGCAGAGACCTCTGGCAATCCTAAACGGGAGAATTAAGGCCTTTAGGCCTGACATTGGTGTGCAGGTCTACAGGATTGCCGGGTCTCCTGTGAGACATTGGCTGGAGCTGAGGAAGTAGATAGAGCCCAATGACACTTGCCAAGAGAGGGCACCTGTGTCCCCTGGAGTCCTTGAGAAGGATGCTAAAGCCCTGACATTTTAGCTCAAGGGCTTAAGACCTGCAACTCTAGCTTGACTTGTCTTGCCTAGTGCTACCTTGTGGACTGCTCCGTATCTGAGGTGAAGATTGGTCAGGGCAGGCCTGTTTATGTTCTCACATGCACCAGAGTGACATTCCCCCACACTCTAGACAGGTGGCAGGCTTGCCACTTGTCTGCCACTGTGGTAAGAGTTTGGGCCGAGGAGTCGGACAGGGCCAGAGCTCTGGTGCGTCATCATCACCATAAAGCTGGGATGGGGGGAAGAGTCTCTCTCCAAAGTGCCGCTTTCCAAGGAAAGAGCTGCAATGTTTGCAAGCTGCTCCCTGAGCAACAATCCCTGGCCTGACTCTTATCAGCAGTTTCACAGAAGTTCTCTCCGTTATCGCTTTGCTTGGGTTTTGTACTGCTCCTTCGGGAGCCTTTAACTCCAGATTCTGAGCTTGCCTTTCCTACTGTAGAGCACCGGTGTGGTAAACAGATAAAAGGGGGTCCCCCTTCCCCACCTTCCATCCGTTTTTTGCAACCCTGCTCGCTGCGGTTTCCTGTTCCTCGCTCTCGTGGTTTTTTTATTTCCCGGAAATGTGTCAGGCAGGAACTGTGGGATCCTTCCGGGGCTTGCACAAAAGTGCCAGCTGGGAGTGAGAAATAGCTAGAGCAATTCTATGACTCAAGGCTCCCCTTGGTGGGCGTTTTCTCATCAGCTGGGCTGCTGCTTCTGCAGTTTAGACACAGGATGTGAGTAATGAGGAGAAGCGGAAGAACAAAGCCACTGGCAGTTTTTCTCTTTCGAAGCACCGCTCATCAATTTCAGCGGGACTTTTATCCTTCCCTTGTGCAGGGAACATGCTTAGATTCCCAATGCTGAGGACTTGGGTTCCTTTGTTTTGAGGTGCTTGTGGCTGCCCCGTGCACGGGGTTTGGACAGGTCTCCTGCCCAGGGAGCTAACAGAGGCCTCTCTCTTCCATGCAGGGAAGGCGAGGAGTGGCAGAAAACTCGCAGCCTCCTTGGGAAGCATATGCTGAAGCCCAAAGAAGTGGAGTCCTACACTGGCACTCTGAACGATGTGGTCAGTGATCTGATCCGACGGCTGGAGCACCAGCGGAGTTTCCACGATCAGCATGTGGTCAAGAATGTGGCTGACGAATTTTACAAGTTTGGATTGGAAGGTATGTGTTTTGTTTACCGCATTTTGTGTGTCACCCTAGTAAACCGCGCAGCCCAGAGTTATATCGGTTGACATTTAAGCATTGGGGGAAGCTGGGATTAATCTTTTGTTCTTGCTGTGACAGCTAAGGTGGTCATTTTGAGCAGGTTCTGGGTTGGATTTGTTTGGGAATGTTTTTTGTTTTAGGACAGGGTGATAATTCAGTGAGATTATGTCAGGAACACCTTTCTCCCCTGCCCGTCTCCTGCAGTGCCTCATTCAACTCTGCTCCTGCAAAGCTGCATTTGCCACTTCACAAAACCTCAGAACCTCTCCTGGTGTCCCTACTTCCAAATTATTTTCGTACCATAAGCCAGAACAATGTGTTCTGCAGGAACTGGCACTGAATGCAGAATCCTCCGGCATCCTTTTAAAAAAAAATCTCGGCTTTCATTTTTGTTTCTTAAATGACAACAAATTCTAAGTTTTTAGCCCTTGTGGCTGTAAAGATGGACCTGAAAGGAGAAGCCAAAGTGTGAGGTGTGAAGGAGGATTTACTAGAGCCAGGAGCTGGGACTATTGTGCTTTACATAGTTAATTGATCTTTCAATTAACTGAATTGGCTTAGTTTGCATGAATTGCAAAATCCAGATCTTGCAATAGAATTCTGAGAATTTTTGGGGTTGACCAGGGAGCTGCTCCACCAACACATTCACAATATTGAACTGTGCTTATATGGATATATTAAAAGAGTTCTCCCCCACCCCCACACACCTGTCATTCACCATGGATGTGCCAAACAGGTATTGTGAAAGATCCATATCTTGGTCTGACTCAAGTTGTTGAAGTGTTGTTGAAGAGCTGGGGAAATCTGTGGCCCCCGTAGATGATGTTGGACTCAAACTCCCATCAGCTCCAACCAGCAGGACCAATGGTTAGCGATGATAGGAGCTGGAGTCCAACAACGTGCAGTGTGGCCACATGTCCCCCATCCCTATTGCAGCAGATGTTTATTAGAGTCCCCCTGAAAGTCACATCCACACGGTTGGGGAAAGCAGCAAAAGGAGCCAGGCAAGATAGCATCTCCTCTCGTGGCTTAATCGATTTAATTGCTTTTGTTCTAGGCATCTCTTCCGTCCTCTTTGAGTCCCGCATTGGTTGCCTGGAGCCCAAAGTCCCCCAGGAAACGGAGAACTTCATTAGCTCCATCAACACCATGTTCATCATGACTCTGCTGACGATGGCAATGCCCAAGGTCTTACATCGCATCTTTCCCAAGCCATGGCAGAAGTTCTGTGAATCCTGGGACTATATGTTTGAATTTGGTGAGTGTTGCCACCAGAGCTTGTCAGAACCTTGAAGAGGAGCTAAATGGCCTGTTGTTGTAGCACCAATCAGAATCTTTGTCGCTCACTAAGCAAGCTTGGCATAAATCGTAGCATTTCATTCTCACTACACCTGTGTGTATGTGTGTTGGGGTTATTTCTGCTTCCTGCAAGAAGTTGCACAGTTTTTGTTGTGCTTGGAGACTACAGGTTAAATGTATGTGTTGCTTAATTCCACATGGCTCTGAAGGGTGGTTTAAAACTGATGCAACCACCGTTCCAATTCTGGAAAGAAAAGATTAATCGACGTAGGTTTTAATAGCAGGACCAAGAAAGCCACCTGCAACACTTACCAATAATTACATGGCAGAGAAGGCCTTCGTAAAAGGAATCTTTTTATAGGGTTTTCTAGATATTGATAGGATCCAGATTTAATAACCACCTTTTTCCAGAAATGCATTAGTACTGATGCCACTGGTAAAAACAAACCACTAGATTCACTTCTGGGGGAGAAGCCACGACTGTTAAACATGTGATGAGGATGTGACCCATGCATAAGCAGCCATTTAGCCTCCTTGCGGCTAGATCATGCAGCAACTCTCCTGTCTAGATAGCAATGCCATGAGAATTCAAAGAAAGGGCAGCCAAGAAGCCCCTGAAATAACTGTTTGAGCTGCCTTCCTGCAAGAAGCAATTGGCCCAGGCTGATATGTCCGCGACGGGTGACTGAATGCCTTGCTTGGCGGCTCTCCCTGGAGAGCAAGTGCTCATCTCGTGCCAATTCCTTTCCAGCCAAAGGACACATTGACAAGCGGATGGCTGAGGTTTCGGAGAAAATCTCACGGGGGGAGAAGGTGGAAGGAAAATACCTGACTTACTACCTGGCACAGGAGAAGCTGTCCATGAAATCCATCTATGGGAACGTGACTGAGCTTCTGCTAGCTGGCGTGGACACGGTAAGCCTTTTGGAAAACACTGGGGGGGGGAGCGCTTCTTACAGGAGCAGGCTTCCCCCCCCCTTACACAATTGGGCACTAAGTGAAGTAGGTCTCTGAGATGGAAAAATAACAGAAGGACCTGGTAGTGGCTGGCTGTGCTTTCCTGTGAGACAGACAGCGGCTTCTGATAACCCACTCTGGTTAACAGTGCCATGCCATGGAATCCTATGTACTGACCCCTAGTTTGAGGATTTTCTTTGGCCCTTGTGCCTCTTTTTCACTTCTATCTCCTTTTGCAGGAGGGCAATTTTACAGCTATTAAAGGTAAAGGGACCCCTGACCATTAGGTGACCGACTCTGGGGTTGCGGCGCTCATCTCGCTTTATTGGCCAAGGGAGCCGGCATACAGCTTCCGGGTCAGGTGGCCAGCATGACTGAGCCGCTTCTGGCGAACCAGAGCCGTGCACAGTAATGCCATTTACCTTCCCGCTGGAGCGGTACCTATTTATCTACTTGCACTTTGATGTGCTTTTGAACTGCTAGGTGGGCAGGAGCAGGGACTGAGCAACAGGAGCTCACCCCATCGCGGGGATTCGAACCGCCGACCTTCTGATCGGCAAGTCCCAGGCTCTGTGGTTTAACCCACAGCACCACCCACGTCCCTTTTACAGCTGTTAAGTGGAGCTTAATTTGAGCCCGGAACTTATTTTCTGTTCCAAGGCCTAGCCCTAGAATATGAAGTAGCTGGGTTTTTGTTTTTGTTTTAAAAGAACACCTCTATGCAAATACAAAGTAAGTTTCCTGGTTCTGGGGCATGGGACGCTGCACACACCTCTTTCTCTCTCTTGGAACGAAGGCTAGAAACACTCCCTTTCTCTTAATTGGTAATAATTGCAGCATAATATCTTGGCTGTTCTGTGCAATGTGATTGGCAGAACAAGAACCCTATATCCCCTTACCCTATTGAACTCAATGGGACTTTAACTTCTGAGTAGGCACGTATAGGATTGCCCTGCTAATATTTACTCTTCTGCCATGCAAAGGAGGAATAACTCTGCTGCAGAAATCCCATTCTGACTGGGGTCCTACTCCTAATAGCCTAATGATGAACCCTGTCCTGGTCTCTATCCCTGCAGATCTCGAGCACTTTGTCCTGGAGCCTGTATGAGTTGTCCCGTCACCCGGAGGTGCAAACAGCCCTCCACAAAGAAATTGCAGCAGTGATGAAGGGCAATGCCATCCCAACGGCAGCTGATGTAGCCCAAATGCCCTTGCTGAAGGCGGTGGTGAAGGAGGCGCTGAGGTGAGCCTCATTTTGGGAACAGATGGGAGAGTACATGGGGAGGTTGCTTGCTGAGGTTGCTGGGGGAAGCATAAAATGTGACCAGGTCTGCCATTGCCTAGAATACCACTATCCCACCAACCTTATCCTGAGATTCCTGCATTGCAGGGGGTTGGACTAGATGACCCATGGGGTCCCTTCCAACTCTATTATTCTGTGACATTGGCCATGCTGGCTGGAACTGTTGGGAGCTCTATTCCCAACAACATCAGCAGAGCACCAGGTCGAGAAAAGTCAGTCTAATCCTTTTAAAAGTTGCATTGAAGCTGACATTCAGGTGAGGACCAAGGATGGAGCCTTAGGCAGCTATATAGGAAAAGGAGGCAGATTCCCTGTGATTTGGCCACTGGCATTCATCCTGATGATCCTAAAGGCCAGGAAGATTTAAACTTATCTGCTGCACTTTTCTAGCTCTGTGCACCTAAGTAAGAAAATCGGGTGCTTCCTTTGGGCTGCAACAGCTGCAGCAGCATAGTCACTTAGCCAGCTGGGAGATTTGCACTCAAACAGGAAAAGGTTAGGGAGCTGAGTAAACATTGCGACATGTTGTGGGGAATCAATTCCTTTATATTCACTTTGGCTGCTCTGTTTTCCTGCAGGTTGTACCCTGTGATTCCTGGCAATGCACGCGTCATCTCAGACAGGGACATCCAAGTGGGAGACTATCTGATCCCCAAAAAGGTGAGCGTGTTACAAAATTGGATGCAAAGAGGGGATGGGGACGGATGATAGCCATCGTTCTCTGGGTGGAGCTAAAGAGAAGCAGTAGCTTTAAGAAGGCAACATCCATTCTGGGATATACATGGCTCCTAAAGGGCCATAGCTCAGTACTTGCTTTGTATGCAGAAGGTCACAGGTTCAATGCCCCAGCAGCTCCCAGAACGGCCAGCCAAGACTTGTGTCTGAAGTCCTGGATAGCCACTGCCAGTAGATGTAGACAATGCTGAGCTGAATGGACCAGCACCATGACTTGGTAGAAGGCATCTTCCTTTGTTCATAAAGGAAGCAAGCCTGGGAAGTGTAGCTTGGCTTCCTTGCTTGAGTCCTCTGGAGCATTCTGGCTCTGCAGTGCATCTGCTTCTGGCACACTGTGGTCCTCAGCTGCATAGGTTGGTGGTGAGCAGATGGCCCTGGCAGGCGGAATTGCCTTGTCTTCTGCTTCATCCTACCCAATGCTCCTCTGGCCTATGATGTGCAACTGCTCCTTTAGGTCAGCAATGCTGCAGGCAGAGAACTGCTGCAAATCTGGAGTAGGAAATCCCAACACTTACAATATCTGGCCAAGAAAACCCGTGTGTGGATCAGGTGGTCATTGCTTGGAAGTGTTGGACATGCACTCAATCTGTGCAGGGTCCTGAAGAAGTCTTAAAAGCAAGCCTGGCAGGTGAACCCAAGTGAATGGAATATGCATCCTTTAAAAAAAATGCTTCTCAGCATCCTCTTGCAACATCTCAGGCACATAGGTATCCTCAGCAAACTGATGCACGTGCAAAGGGGTCCTTGCAGGAGGGAAAACTAGTGCAGGAGGAAGAGGAATGGCAGTAGAGATGCAGGCAGAATGAGGTTAAGGCTGCAGCGCAAAAGCTTTGCTCTCCAAATGAGAAAGGGAGGAAGCCGTTGAAGGAGGACTGGGATGAAGCTATGAAGGCATGCTTCTTAGGGATGGGTCTTTTGACCACGTGCACCCTAAACCTAGGGTCCCTGGGCTGTTTGCCTCATGATGTTCCCTTTCCCTGCTCTTTCAGACCTTGATCACCCTCTGCCATTATGCTACGTCCCGTGACGCGAAGTACTTCTCCAATCCCAACTCATTCCAGCCAGAGCGATGGCTGCGAAAGGACGATGCTCACCACCCGTACGCCTCTATCCCCTTCGGCTTCGGCAAGCGCAGTTGCATTGGACGACGCATTGCAGAGCTGGAAGTGTATCTCGCCCTGTCTAGGGTGAGTGTCTGCAAGGAGAAAACCCTAGATCAATATTGATGGCCCCTAAGGGGCTGTTTTCATCTTATGGAACTGAGATGCAGTGGGTGGGTTTATCCCCAAAGCCCTGTTCTTGGAGGGACAAGAGGTTGCATTCACCTTCTGCCAGCTTTTACACCACCATCCCTCTTGCTGATCCTGGTCCTTCTTTAAAGGGACCAGCACAGTCAGGTAGAAGTTTGGCAGGAGCCAAATCTAGTGGGCCTAGATTTGCAAGGTTTCCTGAATCCCAGTGGAAAGTGAATGCATTCAGATCTTGTCTCTCTTGCTCTCCTCTGGGCAAGCACCTTGAGCATCTCCTTTGGCCTTTTTCCAGATGACATCTTTGTTTTATGCCTTGCTGTTCCTTGCTCAGTAGCTGCCCTGCTAACAAGCCATCGCTCCTCTTGTCTTGCAGATCCTGATGCATTTTGAAGTGAAGCCAGAACAAGATGGCCACATCGTGAGACCCATGACACGCACTCTGCTGGTTCCAGAGAAGGAAATCAATCTGCAATTTCTGAGCCGCTAATCAGGACGAAGCAGAACAACTGATGCTGGTCTTCCCATCAAAGCACACTAGACCTTGAGGCTGGGTGTGACAAAGCTAATCTTCTGGATTCTTTGGAGTCTGCTTGAAGAACGGCTGTAGAGCAGTGACATTGACTGAAGTCAGGCAAAGGGGCCACTGGTGCTTCCTCTCTTAAGTGGCACCCTCCGCTGTGTCTTGGAGGTCTTGCTAAAGGTGATTTCTCCAGAGCCAGAGTTTTCCAGCACATTATATAGAGTATCAATGTGCACTTAAAATAAACAGAGGGGAACTGTGGGAAGAGCAGTTTTGCTCTGAAACGTACCTGCTTTTCTCACTCAGTTTGATAGTTCCCAGAACTTTCGGGAAATCGGATGGAGAGCAAGGAGCCCAGTAACCCAGTGGCAGGTGTGACTGTACTGTATACCAAACTGCCAATGTGATATCTGTGCAACTGTGAGTTCATGTGTGTGTGCCCAATGCTCCATGACAGCAACCTCAAGGAAGGCCATCCAAAAACGAGGCAATACGGGCGAAGTTTTTGCATCTTCTCCACCGCAACATTGTCCATTAGGTGCCATTGGCATATGTAAATCGTCCATATTAGATCAGTGTTGGATCACTGTCAGAATGCAGTCACCCAGGTTATCTCTCGCTTGGATCTTGAAAGTGATATTTAGTTTCCTTCTCAGGGTGGAAAAGCTGGTTTCTAGATGCAGGGACAGTATTTATATCCCCACCCAGGTGTGTGAAAAGACCCCCAAAAGCAAGCCAAACTTCATTTCAAATTATATGTGTTTTTTTTAATCACTGAAGTTGAGGCAGTTATACAGATCTTCCCTGTTTGGAGCTGTGGGAATGGAGAACAGGAATATATTTAAGAGCCTTATTATTTATTATTATTAATATTGTTATTATGCTAATCTTTTGTATTTTAAATATAATCATTTATATTTAATACCCTTCCCCTACATATTTATATTTTTATAACCTATAAATTATGTGTACAAATGTTCTGTATTTTAAAAACAGCTGCATCAGAACAGTTCCTGTAACCAAAGCTGTCTACCTTAAAGGCTGTTTCTTTGGTGCTATGTTTAAATGTTATTTATTATCTCTGGATAATAAACATGAACTGGTTTTTTAAAAAATCTGACTTGTTTATCTGTGACTTTGAGCTGAAACGCCAAACAGAGAGATTGTGATGATTGATTGATTGATTGATTGATTGATTGCACTTTTGATCCCACCTTTCCTCCACGCCGCTCAAGGTGGCATACATCGTTCCCCTCCTCTATTGTAACTTCACAACAACCCTGTAAGGTTGGGTAGGCTGAGAGTGAGTTACTGGCCCACAATCACCCAGTGAGCTTCATAGCTGAGTAGGGATTTGAACTCTGGTTTCCCTGGTCCTAGTTCCAACACTCAGCACCACACTGACTCTCTAATGGTAATGGCTGGGTGAGCATTATCTAGTCTGGAAACTTGAAATTTGCTTTCTAGCAGCTTCTCCTTATGGTCTCCTTATGCTTGTGAGTGTTATAGGGGGTCACTGATGGTTAACTCCCGGCACCCATCACAGTGCAACTCCCAAGGTGGCCAAGCCATCATGGTTAAACTGAAGTGGCAGACGTAATTCTAAAAGAGTTCCAACATTACAAAACAGCTCATGACTTGTTCTCTCCTACACCTTATCATTAACCAGTGTGCCAAAAAGCTTTTTCCTCCTACAGAGTTCCATGGAGCAGCCACTCACAGTGCAAAATCCTTTCCCTTCCCCACCCGTAGTGTAGTTATTCCAAGTCTGTCTAGGTTAGCGCACCCGACAAACTGAGCCCATTTTTAAACCCCAAGGAAATGCACCACGGAGGGCTCGGAAGGGCTGGCACCCACATCCAGGAAACCTGGGCAGTTGCTGAAGCCCCAGTGCCCAAGCAGGACCCACAGCTGACCCCTGCCCTGAGCCAGGAGGCTGGCTCTGACAAACCCTTAAATTCCCACCCCCGCGCTGTAGCATCACTCTGGGTCAATGTGAATGGCAGATAGACCCAGCCACCCAATGGTTGCAGCATTGCTGCTCTCCATCACTGCCCATAGCTGTCAACTTACAGATTTGAAAATAAGGGACCAGCAGCCTCGAAAATAAGGGATCAGCAGCCAAAATAAGGGATTTTAGTCTACCAGCTGAAATACGAAGTTAAAAGGGACCAGATAATTTTGGAGAGCAGTGCCGGTTTTTAGCCCTTCGTTTCCAGAGGTTGCTGCTCAAGACACCAGCCGATGAAACACTGCAATTAAATAACTACAAGCAGCAACCGCTTTTCGCGCAAAACGAAGTCCAAGCTACGAAGATGCTGCTGCAGTTCTGTATCTTTTCTCTTGTGTTCCATCTGCAGCTCCCAGTTCCATCAGGCGGGGTGGGAGGAAGGGGGGGGGGGAAATAGCGCCCGAAGTAAACCTGCAGATCAGATCATCTATGCTAGTCTACCACTACAAATCTATGGGAGAAGCGCTTGCGGTCCTTCCTCCGCTTTCCCCCTCTATGGTTAGCCCTTGGAACACCTGCCCGCGCCTCCTCCTCCTCCTCCTCTCTCTGAACTGCTTTTTCTATGGTTGCCCTCGCTCTCCTCTCAAGGCTCCTCAGCAATTCATAGGTCGCGCCAGGCTGCCCATCTCATCCGGGTCCTTCAGCGGTGCAGCCGCAGTACGGTCTAGTGGGAGCGGCGGTGGCGGCGGGCAGAGGGGAGGCCCCAGGCAGAAACGCTCAGTTTGGCAGCCACAAGGAGGATGGCAGCAGAAGGGCCCGAGGCGCCCGCCAGTCCCGGCGGGGAGGGGCTCCCGGGGGTCGAGGCTGGTGAGAGGAGGCTGGAGGGGGGCGGGCCGGGGAGCCAAGCAACACAGTTGGAGCCTCCCTCCTCCCTGGCCGGCAGGAAGGGGGGAGGGAGAGGAGCTGCTTCCTTTGAAACCCAGGAAATTTACGGGACATCATCAATAAGGGACAGCAGCGGGACACGGCGCTGGGATAAGGGAGTTTCCTGCCAAATAAGGGACGGTTGACAGCTATGTCACTGTCTCCACATCAGACAGTGGAGCCACGCCCCTGGATCCACCCCTCTCTGGTAAGGCAGTGCAGTGCAACAGGGGCAGGAAAAGAAAGGCTTGTATAAAGGGGAAATAGCACCATCTGAAGCAGAGTGTTAATAAGAGGCCAAGACTTGGGATAAATAAATAATATAAATAAATTTTTATTTATACCCCGCCCTTCCCGGTTCAGAAAACCGGGCTCAGGGCGGCTAACAACAAATTTAAAACACTTAATTGATGCAACAAAAAACAGCATAAAACGTGAATAACAATAAATTCAGAATTCAAAAATCAATTTAGGGGGGAAATACATCCAATAAACATTAGATAATCCCCAGGGCTAGCTGGCTGAATTGGTCCTACTTGGGCCAGCGAGGAGACCAGGGGAGAATTAGCTGTGGGATCCCAGAGTGGGTAATCTTCATAAAAGGGGAGGGGGAGGGAAGGAAGGGGAATAAAAGATCAGGCTAAGTTCAAATTGAAAACCAGGCGGAATAGCCCTGTGGAAGGAAGTTAAATCCTGCAGGGCCCTGGTCTCATGGGACAGAGCATTCCACCAGGTTGGAGCCATCACTGAGAAGGCCCTGGCCCTGGTGGAGGATAATCTGACTTCCTTAGGGCCCGGGACCTCTAAACTATGATTATTCATGGACCTTAAGGTCCTCTGCGGGGCATACCAGGAGAGGCAGTCCCGTAAATACAAGGGCCCTAAGCAATAAGCAGTGTCCAGGCTACTCCTGCTATCTCTGATTCAAAGCACACAGATGCCAAGTGGTGCAGACGTCCCCTTGCCTGGGCCAGGCTGGAACATGATTCAACTGCCTTTCCTGCTGGCTGTTCCTTCCAGTCTTTTATAGTGCCTACTTGCTGGAAACATCTATTGAGGAAAGCTCAGCATCCAAACATGCCCATACCAGAACCTTGTGTTACTGTAGCGATACTTTGCACTCAGACTTGCCCTTCATCCCTTGTAGGGAGACAAAGACAAAGAGATGGTGGCTATTTACTTTACTTCCTTGTGTGTTGGACATATCACTGGGAAACCCCCGTGCAGCCATAAGCAAACTCGGCCCTCCAGATGTTTTTGGACTACAACTCCCATCATCCCTAGCTAACAGGACCAGTGGTCAGGGATGATGGGAGTTGTAGTCCCAAAACATCTGGAGGGTCGAGTTTGCCTATGCTTGCCCCAGTGTGTGTGTGTGTGTGTGTGTGTGTGAGAGAGAGAGAGAGAGAGAGAGAGAGATGAGAATGAGAGGAGGGGAGAGAGGGAAAATTTATTTAATGCTTTCATAAAATCATAGAATTGAATAATAGACTAGTAGTTGGAAGGGACCCCAGGGGTCATCTACTCCAACCTCCTGCAATGCAGGAATCTCAGCTAAAGCATCCCTGGCAGTTGGCCATCCAACCTCTGCTTAAAAACCTCCAGTGAAGGATAGTCCACAACCTCTACTGTCGAACAGCTCTTACTGTCAGAAAGTTCTTCCTGATGTTTAATCGGAAACACCTTTCTTGTAACTTGAATCCATTAGTTCTGGTCCTACCCTCCACAGCAGGAGAAAACAAGCTTTCTCCATCTTCCATGTGACAGCCCTTTAGATAATTGAATGTGGCTATCACATCTCCTCTCAATCTCCTCTTCTGCAGGCTAAACATACCCAGCTCCCTCAACCGTTCCTCATAAGACTTGGTTTGCAGGCCCTTGGTCATCACCCGCCTCTGCACACCTTCCAGCTTGTCAATATCCTTCTTAAATTGTGGTGCTCAGAACTGGACACAGTATTCCAGGTGTAGTCTGACCAAGGCAGAATAGAGCAGCACAGTACTATTTTTTTTTTAATGATATTTATTAAAGTTTCACAAAGAAAGAATCACATCAACAAAAAAGAAAAATTCAAGAATAAAAAGAAAAATACACAATGCAAAATACAAAAAGAAAAAAGAAAAAACAGTTAAAAACAATTCCCTCTTTTCATCACTACTTTTACATTTACTTGTTTCCCGGACCTCCTCATACCTCCCTCTTTTGTATTCCAATTCAGTTTGTTAGTCCAGCAATTTCTTTCCCTCCTTTTTAATCCCAATCCTTAATCTTAATATAATATAACATTAAATTTTTACCTATTAAAACCAATTTTTCCATTCTTTTAACCTTTTAATCCTAATCCTTAATCTTGATATATTTATAACTTTAAAGCCTGTACAGCTAGAAGCCACTTAATTTCAATCCAACTTCACTCTAACATTCATTAATTTTGCAATATTTCTGTAAATAATCTTTGAATTTCTTCCAATCTTCTTCCACCGACTCTTCTCCCTGGTCACGGATTCTGAGCAGCACTATTACTTCTCTTTCTTTCTTTTTTTTAAATGATATTTATTAAAATTTCAGAAACAAAAAATTACATAATTAAAAAGAAAAGAAACAAGAGAAAAAATAAAAAAGAGAAAAAACATACAAAATACAAAGTACAGGGGGGAAAAAACACTTAAAAACAAATCAATCCTTCCGTTTCTTACATTTCATTTCCTTGCTTCCCTGACCTCCTCTCACCTCCCTTTTTTGTATTCCAGTTCAGTTGGTTAATTCAGCAATTCCTTTCCCTCTTTATTTTTGACTTAGTCCTTTAACTTAATATATTATAGCTTTAGATTCTCAGCTATTAACAATCCATTTTTACATACACCTTTATGACATTGCTGCTAAAACCACTTAACTTCATTCTGACATCATTCTAACATTCATTAATTTTGCAATATTTCTGTAAATAGTCTTTAAATTTCTTCCAATCTTCTTCCACCGACTCTTCTCCCTGGTCTCGGATTCTGCCAGTCATTTCCGCCAGTTCCATATAGTCCATCACCTTCATCTGCCATTCTTCCAGAGTGGGTAAATCTTGTGTCTTCCAATACTTTGCAATGAGTATTCTTGGTGCTGTTGTGGCATACATAAAAAAAGTTCTGT